AAGCATAGACTGTATATACTATGGACAACTTCGTTCCGCCTACCGCCTGTATATGGATTTGAAGCCAAATAGCTCTCGGTATTTCCTGGATTTTTCTTCATTTCCTGAAACCAGCGCTGCACAGAAGCAATGCGCGCATTCGGCCACGCAGTCGCAGAGAGTCGCTGTGGTGATGCTCGGCTAAAACAGCGTATCCCCCGGGAGAGCTACGCAATCCCTGAATGCCCATAAGCTGTATCAGATGTCAATCATAGCAAACATGAATCCCCTAATAACTTTCAAAAACGGAACTTCGCAGAAAAAAGCACAGACCAGTCTTACAATAACTCCATATCAACATCACAAGCAGGGGGGAGAAAAAAATATGTTCTGTGTATTAAATTTCTAAAGTTTGTCCACAGCTCCATAAACTTCGCTGGCGGAGGCAGGATTTGTGACCTATACTGCAGCCCATCAACAGAGGGTGCTGTTCTCGGAGTGGCTTCACCCAGCAAGGAGGCAGACTCTGTCCATTCTATAAACAGTCTATAGTGCAAAGGTAAAGGCAAAGCTGAATGCTAGGAGGTGGCAATATAAACCCTTTCTGCCATCAATCATCATGGGAAACGTCAACTCTCTGCCCAACAAAAGCGATGAGCTGGAGATCTTGGTGAAGACTGAGAAAGCATACCATGAGTGCAGTTTCCTGTGTTTTACTGAAACCTGGTTGAATCAAAACAACTCGGACTCCAGTGTGGATCTACCTGGCTTCACTCTCATAAGGTCAGACAGAGATGCTCAAGCTAGTGGCAAGAAGAAAGGAGGAGGTCTGGCTTTATTTGTCAACCAGAGATGGTGTAACCCTTCACACATAACTGTCAAGGTGAAGTTGTGCTGTCCAGATATTGAACTGTTGGCAGTTGCTCTTCGGCCATATTATGTTCCCAGAGAATTTAGTTATATCATAACAGTAGTTGTTTACATTCCACCCAAATCAACTGAGGAATGTTGCGATGTTTTGCAAAATAGTGTTGCCAGGCTACAGACTTAATACCCTGAGGCACTAATAATAATATCGGGAGACTTCAACCATGTCACCCTCTCCTCTCACCTGACTGGATTCACACAGTTTGTGAACTGTAACTGTCCTACCAGAGAAAACAAAACCCTGGATCTGCTGTATGCCAACGTCAAAGAAGCCTACAGAGCCACTACCTTACCACCACTGGGTAGGTCAGATCATAACTTGGTCTATCTGCAAACCTGTTACAGACCTTGTGTGCTGAGGCAGCCTGTGACCAAAGTCAAAATCAGAGCTTCACTGGCTTGAGGTGTCCATCTTCTAAGAGACTGTTTTAAATCAACAGACTGGAATGTGCTGCTGGAAACAGATGTGGATAGTATGAACATTGATAAACAGGTTGACTGCTTTACTGATTATGTCAACTTCTGTAGGGACACAGTTATACCCACAAAAACTGTTTGCAGTTTCCCCAACAACAAACCCTGGATCACAAGAGACATAAAAACAATCCTTAACCAGAAAAAGAAAGCTTTTAAAGATGGTGACAAAGAATGACTCAAACAAGTGCAACAAGAGTTGAAGAGGAGACTGAAGATGGCAAAGCTGGAGTACAAAAAGAAGATAGAGAATAATCTACAACACAGCAACATCCATGAAGTGTGGAGAGGAATCGGTACCATCTCTGGACACAGCAGTCAAAAGAAAAGACAGCCAGTGGTGGGTGATGTGAAAAGGGCTGATGAACTCAACCTGTTCTTCAACAGATTTGACACTGCTGTCACTCCCACTTCCACTGCTACTCCACCTTCCTCTCTGCAACAAATCTCCACTGTCTTGGGAAGGCAGCTGGTCCAGATGCTGTGTGTCCAAGGCTGCTTAGAAACTGTTTTGCAGAACTGTAACAACCTCTCCACAACATCTTCAACTTGAGTCTACAGTTGGGGCGGGTACATGCTCTTTGGAAAACATCTGCGTTGTGCCAGTACCAAAAACAAAATGTCCTGCCGAACTCAATGACCACAGACCAGTGGCTCTCACTTCACACATCATGAAAACCCTGGAGCAGCTGATTCTACGCCTTCTGAAGTCTGAGGTCAGAGACAAACTGGACTCCCTGCAGTTTGCATACAAAGAACACATTGGAGTGGATGATGCTGTCCTCTACATGCTTCACTGTGCCCTGTCTCATCTGGAGGAACCTGGGGTTTATGTGAGGATCATGTTCTATGACTTTTCAAGTGCATTCAACACCATCCAACCCACCATACTCAAAGACAAGCTCACAGAGATGGGAGTGGATCCTTCCTGTGTTTCCTGGATCACAGATTACCTGACAGGAAGGCCACAGTTTGTCAGGCTGGAGAACTGTGTTTCTGGGACAATAATGAGCAGTACAGGAGCTCCACAAGGGACAGTGCTGGCACCATTCCTGTTCACACTGTACACGTCAGACTCCAGATACAGTACTGAGTCCTGCCACATCCAGTAATACTCAGATGACACTGCTATTGTGGCATGTATCAGAAATGGACAAGAAGCTTAATACAGAGATCTAATAAGAGCCTTCAGTGACTGGAGTCACAAAAACTGCCTCCTCCTCAACACCTCAAAGACAAAGGAGATAGTCATAGACTTCCGTAGATCCAAACCCCCTCTTCAGCCAGTGAACACCTGTGGAGTGGACACCGAAGTGGTGACATCATATAAATACCAAGGTGTACATCTGGATAATAAGTTGGATTGGTCTAAGAATATAGACTACATCTACAGAAGGGGCAGAGCCGCCTCTTTTGCCTGAGAAGACTCTGATCAATAGACACCTGTAGTAAGACACTGCAGATGTTTTATCAGTCTGTGGTGGCAAGTGTTCTGTTCTACACTGCAGTCTGCTGTGGAGGAAGCATCAAACACAAAGATGCAAGATGTCTTAACAAACTGGTGAAAAAGGCTGGCTCTGTGGTAGGACTCAAGCTGGACTCAGTGGAGGATGTGGTGGAGAGATCTACACTGATGAAGGTGGAGACTATTCTCAAGAACATGGATCACCCACTTCACAACATCTTGATGGACCAAAGGGCAAATGGTGGTGGACGGCTCCTCTCTCTTCGCTGCAGGACAGAAAGATTTAGAAGATCTTTTGTACCAACAGCCATCAGGCTTTATAACTCTTATGTAAATAATAGATAAGTTTTATAGTCATATTACGTGAGACAACAGAATTTCCCTTCGGGGATAAATAAAGTTCTTCTTATTCTTATATCATAAACCCTTTAATCCCAAACTACCAGAAAATTAATCTTAAATACATGCAAAATCCATATTCAACCCAAAGTAACCTAAACATTTTAAAGCACCACAATGATGAATTTAACCTGTAGTCTTTGCAGCTTTTAACTTCTATAAACACATCACATTGCTTTTCAATTAACAGTTCTTTTAAAACACACTACACTCTCTCAATTCATTAGTAATTTTAAATCCACATGATATTAAACATTATATTTTCCTCAGGTTTTACCCACATGATCCTTTAACATGACATTTTAACTTAAATTTTAACCACATGATTTTAATCCACACATTTCCACAAACAGAATACAGCAAAAGCTCACCGGCTCCTTCTTCTTTCTCGGAACAAGTCTATTTGTCTGTTGCAAGCTCAGCACAGTATCTCCAGACACTCCACACAGTCCTCTCCACTGCCACACTGTGAGTGAATGCCTCCAAACCAGTGTCGTTTTCGTCAACCATGACGTTGACGAAAATATTTTCGTCAACGTCATCGTCAACGAAAACAAAACTCTACGTGTGTGTGTGTGCGTGCGCGCGCGCGTGTGTGTCTGTGTGTTGGAGGAGCACAGCAGGCTGATGAGAGCTGTCAGAGCGGACTGAAGCTGCTCCTATATGTTTAGCGTTTAACTGACAGACTTTTGCAACTCTGTTCGTCATTTTCGTCTCGTCCCATCAACGTAAACACACTTTCGTCTCGTCATATTTTAGTCTTCTCCGACTTATGTTCAGCTCGTCAACGTTACGTCTTCGTTGTGGAAGAAAATGGAAATATTTTTGTCAACGAAAACAACCAGTGTTGTTCTCGTTGATGAAAATATTTCCCTTCTTTGACGGTGGCGTTGACGAAAATATTTGACGAAATATGACGAAAACAACACTGCTCCAAACTGCTTGATTACCAGATCATTCCCACCTGGTGTAGTGACCCAGTGCCACCAGGCTGACAGTGACATCCAGGCCTTCAGCACTCAGTCAGAGGGACGTGGCCTGAGCATAGTTCAGCTCAGCTCAACAATGCTTCCTGGGATAAGCCTGGACTGGTTTTATCTGCTCAAATGATGAGAACACATCAAACTCAAACAGCATTTGGCAGCTGGAGGTTAATGGCCAGTAACTGTGTCCTAGCAAGTCACTAACCCCTGGGGTCCAGGTAGAGGCACAGACAGGGCAAGAAACAACAGGACTGCCTGTACCTATAACAGTAGTTGTAGGTACAGACCATTATCTGGGCAATACAAGAGAAGGGGATAGTTGTAAGTAAGCTTAATTTCACTCCACCATCATGTGATACTCAAGTAAATTACAAGAAAATGATGACATACCGTTGATAGTAGCCAAAACAGTCCGCTTCCCTGGCGTAACAGTCGGCTCTTGGTTTGGACTGCAGGGACAGATTTGTGTTGAAATTGTAATAAGTAACCTATAGAATTTACCAAATAAATCTGAGGTAACAATTGCATCTACTTTTTTGGGGGTAGATTTAATTCCATATATTGAGTAAAAAATAACTGCAATAGAAAAGCTATGAAATACTGAAATAAATTAGGTTGAATTTACCTAATATTCATGTATATATTCAACAGCTGCTTACTCAATAAGATTAAACATCATGGGCTCTATAAGCATGGGCTCAGTTTAAGTCAGGTCCGATGAGGTGTGCACTTTGGCACTTTGGTGAGTGGCGCAGCCCGGCGTAAGTATCCCCCCTCCCTAACTCAGCTCCTCCCAGGGGTATAAGTAGCAGAGAGGGAGGGGAGAAGGTGTGGAGTGGGTTTAACACAGCTGAGTCCTGTTTTCACCAATCACATCAGCTCCTCTCCTCACCTTTAAATCCGCCACCGGCGAGGGCTATTACAATTTTCGTGAAGTAGTCGAAGAGATTAAGAGATGGCTGAAGACAGCAATGCCACACAATGGTGACAGAAGGCAGCCCCTCAACAAGTGTCACTGTAAGCGCTGTGGAGAGAGGACACTCTCAAATAAGCACAGAGGGATTTGGTGTGTGTAAGCTTGTACCCACTGGTAAGACAAACATCCTTTTCCACAAATAAAGACACTAATATAAAGTTTCATATATTTAAATCCACGTGACAAAGGCGGATTGTGCGCACAGATCACAACATAAACAAATTCCAACAATGGCATTAAAACCAAAATCACCTGTGCATAAAGGAAGCATCGTGCTCTGTGGACTCGCTCCGTCAGACTACGAAAATACCAAACTGGCTGTGCAACCGGCTCTGCCAGATGAAAATACCACTGCGTGGGGTGCGCCACCCTCATCCGTGCCGCGGGCAGGCACGAAAATAGAGCCCTTTCTCTTAATTGCTAGTAGGTAATACCTGATAATAACTAAAAAAAGTTAATTAATATCAGTTAGTAACTTTTACTCATCCAGATAAGGTAAGATTTACCTCCCAAAAAGACTTTCAGATGGTAATCATTTCAATATTTTTAACATATAAAATCCTACCAAGAAACAAAACAGAGTAAAGTGCAAGAGAGAAACACACATTTCAAGAAATGAACCCATTTTATCATTCACAAAGATAACTGCTTCAAATGCTGCTTTTGGATAATTGACTAATACACACATGCAAACTCTACAAGGTCGTTCCTGTGCATGTACAGTATCAAACATCTGGATAGGGATAGAACAGATGAACACCAACAAAGTTCGTTTAGGTGCTTGCTGTCACTCTCAAAGATAGTATGAGAAAAAAGAAACAAACAAATGGGGAGGGGAAGAGGAGGGTATAGAGGTGGAGATCAAATTTCTTTAGGTTACACTCAGTGGTATTGACCAGACTGGCCACTTTCTATCAGTGTTCCTTTTCTGTCAATCTGAGTAAATCAGAGAGCAATGGAATGGGCTGAAAGAGGCTGTGACATGTATCCATCTGTACATACATATTGATATATTTGTGTGTGTGGGTGTGTCTGTGTGTGGAGCAAAGGAGGTGTAGTATCTGAGGTATTTGAGTGACACAGCTCCACCACTCTAAAGGCTGACATGACTGGCTAAAGAAACTCATCCTAACAGGAGGGAAGAGTAGAAAAATAAAAAACTACACTCCATCACAACTCCATCTAGCTATGTCCAGACAAAACATCCTCTAAGAACAAGAGAGAAAATGTGTGTCAATTGCATGAGCTTATTTTTGAGGCTGTGGACCTTCTTCAGTAGTTTTGCTCCTTCAAATGTGTTCTTCAGCTGCTTTTGATATTTGAGGTACAGGGCATATATCAGTCCCATCAGCAGTACACACTCCTTTGTTCAGTTCCCACATCCTTCCATCACTCAAATTTTTGAGCGTCCCGCTCTTTCTGATTGTAAACTAAGACGTTTTCCACCTCCCCGACCTGACTGGTTGTAAGGCAGATGCTGCTCCCTCATGATGTAAGGTACGCTCCACGTCCTCAAATAACGTTCACAAGCCCAAACAAAGTTAGCATGCTACAGTATCGGACAGTAGAACGCATCCAGAAAATACAGAAAATTTTCGGAATCCTACTTTGGCCACGACTGCCAACACAAGCAAGAAATAAAGGAAATACCGGTGACTCTGGCGGAATAATGGGTGCTTAAAACAGAGGTAGACCACCCGGACAAGAGCTAAAAAGCTGGGTCAACATCAATGAAGCATAAATGTTCGAGATCTTGGTGACCCTGTAACCTTTCTGCTGGACCTTAGAGGGTAGACATCTGTTGACTATTGCATCCTAATTGTTTTATTGCCTAGGAGAGCTCATCTCGCCTCTAGTAATGATGTAGCCAGAGTCATAGAATGGACTATAAGAATGGGCTGCAACCATTGCTCAGTGGGCACAACCATGGGGCTGCTTGACTGCCATGTGGTTCTGTATTGTGTCCCCTCTTTATATCTCTCTATAGAGAATAAAATCATTGCACATGATAATTCTTTGGTCTTGTTTTCTCACTCTCCCAGGCAGGCTAAATTTTCTGCAACAAAATACATCTCAGTTTATCTTGCAGAGTTAAGGATAGCAGAGGGGAGTGGACAGAAGACGGAAGGAGAAGGGGAGAAGAGGGATACCAGACAAGAGCTGAGTAGAGAGCACAGAACCCCCCCCCCCCCCAATAGTCCATATGCCGAGAAGAGAAGAAAGAGAAGATAGCAGTGCAGAGGAGAGGAGATAGGGAGGAAAAGAGAGGAGAGAGCAGAGGAGAGAAGAAAAGAGAGGAGAGGAGAAGAGAAGAAAGAGAGCAGAGAAGAGAAGAAAAGAGAGGAGAGGAGGCAGCAGCGCAGAGGAAGAGCAGAAGAAAGGAGAAGAGATGACAGGAGAGAGCACAGCAGAGGAGAGGAGAAGAAAAGAGAGGAGAGTTGAGGAAGACATGAGGATCCCTTGCGTTAATCAATCATGTGTTATCAATATAATATACCAGGCAGTCATGGACTAGATCTTGTCTTTCACCAAGATAGTCAATGAGGTAGCAGACAACCGCATCCCTTTTTTCCTCAATGCTCTGTGTCTGGAGGGAGATACAATTTAGTGAAAAGAAAATTAGTGTTACTCAGTGATTTACATACACTAAGACCGAATCCCTTTAAAACTAAAACATATTTCACAGATTGATGTTAAACTATGGTTTGTTAAGTTGGTAAGGAGCTCAACTTTGTGCACAGCAAAGCAATTGTTTACAAATTATTTGGAAACAAGTGTTCTTTTCCATTTTGTCTGCCAGGTCTTTCCCCTCCTCTAGCCACTCGCTCAGTTGCCCAAGTGACTTAGATGAATAACTAATCATATATCTATATGTCCATCTATCTTTCTTTCTATTTATCTATATGTTAAAACTTAAAATAACAGAGTACAAAGATATAAAATAATACAGAAAAAAGAGGGGAAGAAGAGGGAGGGAGAAGAACACAAAAATGACAAAAAAATAAAAAGAGAGAAGATATGAGAAATTGGCTCTTAGGAGAACTGTTGGTTTTTTGATATTTAGAGTATCACTGGACACTTTGCTTGGTCCTGTCATATTTGCTTCCCGTCTGCCCTGCCCCTATCCTGTCACACCTGCTCCCTGATTGTTTCTTCCCACCTGTGCCTCATCAGCCCTCATTACCTCTTGTATTTAACCCCATGTCTCTCACTGTCTTGTTGCCAGTTCGTTGCACTTTATAGTCCTTGTCCCAGCCTTTTTTTCCCCCACAGGCATAGCTTCTTGTTTCCTGAAACTTGCTTGATTTTAGATCTTGCCTTTTTTGCCTGCCGATTTTGATACCTTTGCCTGTTTGGATTGGTCTCTTGTGTACTGACCTCCGCATGTTTCTGATTAAACCCTTTTTGCCTCTGACCTCTGCTTCAGTGTCTGCCTTTGTGTCCTCCTGCTCTGAGCCGTTCTTTACAGGTCCTCAAAAATCTAAAAAATAGAGCACATATTAACTTTTCACATATATAAACAATTAAGAAAATGCACAATAGAAATAGTAAACTAAAATAGCGCTCAAACAGGACTAAGCTGTGTGAGAACTCATCAAAAATACCAGGACTCAATATTAACACGTCAGGATTGGTCATAGACTCATCCATTGCCAGTAATGCCAATTAATCTGAACATATAGAGTTTTTACTAGTTGCAGGGGCCTGTCATCTTAGATAGGTGACAACCAACTTCAAATCTTGCCTCATAATTCTACAAAAAAAAACTCTGTATTCCTTTTAACTAGGAATAATAACTTCAGATAATATAAGTAAAATCTGCTGTGATAGTTGATATGCTTTTGACCTGTGGTTTTCAAAATATTGGTATCCAGAGTAAACTAGAGGGCAAGCTAAAACCCTAAGGCACACCAGTAAACAATCCGTGTAAACCAGCTTTTAGCATGTTACCTAATCACTCTGTGCATGTGTATTTATAATACTACTACTACTACTACTAATAATAATAATAATAATAATAATAATAATAATAATAATAACTTTATTTGTATAGCACTTTTTAAAAAACAGATGTTTACATAGTGCTTTGACATGTAGTCGTAGAGCATATAGAAAAATAAAAACAAAAAGCTCAGTAAAAACGGAATTGAAAGCCATTTTCATGTCATAAGGTACCCAGACAATACAAGAACCATGCAACTTAAAATGAGATAGTAAATATAAAAGGCAATATCAACACTGACAATAAAATAATAACACTGATAATACTTAAAATAAAAGTAATGATAAAATAGAGCAAAAGAAATAAGCAAGAGATAAAACAATAAAAGGTCTAAAAGGTTAATTAAGAAACAAGTACAAATATAACAAAAGCTAAAAAGACAGTAAAACTGAAATAAGATGGAGGTAAAAGAGATGACAGATAAAATATAAAAGATGGCATCACATAAAAGCAAGTCTGTAAAAGTGAGTTTTTAAATTCAACTTAGAAGAAATGACTGTCTCTGCACGCCTAATCTCCTCTGGCAGGTCGTTCCAAAGTCAAGGAGCTCTAATGGAGAAAGCTCTGTCACCTTTAGTTTTGATTCACCACTTTGGAACGACCAAGAGGCCTTCGCCAGAGGATCTGGATCTGCCAGTTGGCTCATATGGTATTAAAAGCTCTGAAATGTAGCTCGGAGCAAGTCTTTTGAGTGCTTTAAAAGTAATCAATAAAACCTTAAAATCAATTCTAAAACTGACAGGAAGCCAGTGAAGGGAGGCTAAAATTGGAGTGATGTGATGCTACGAAAACCAGTTAAAAGCCGAGCTGCTGCATTCTGAACAAGTTGGAGAGTGATTTCTTGAAATTTCCTGAAGGAGATTTTGTGCCATCCAACTTTTAATGTCACTTAGTCCATGACAGTAGCTCGGCTTCTTGGGTCCTCAGGTCTCAAAGGAAGGTATATAATAACCCGCTCGTAACTTTGGACGGATTTCATCTCATCAGAGCTGACCGGAGCGTGAAGGAGAGTGGTAAGAAGAAAGGAGGCGGGATAGCGGTGTATGTGAATGAGAGATGGTGTAATGCTGGGCACGTCAGTGTTAAAGAGCAGCGCTGCTCTAAGGACATTGAGCTGCTGGCTGTGAGTTTGCGGCCATATTACCTGCCGAGGGACTTTTCACACGTCATCGCGTTAACTGTTTACATCCCCCCCTCAGCTGATGCTGCTGCAGCCTGTGAACTCCTCCATAGTGAAGTGTCCAAGCTACAAACATCACACCCTCAGTCTCTGATCATCATCTCTGGAGACTTTAATCATGTATCGCTCTCCTCTACTCTCCCTACCTTCAGCCAGTACGTGGAATGCCCAACAAGAGACAATAAAACTTTGGACTTACTGTATGCAAACACCAAGGATGCATACACCTCCTCCCCTCTCCCCCCGCTGGGCCGCTCAAATCACAGCCTGGTGAGACTGCAGCTCATTTACATACCTATGGTGAAGAAACAACCCCCCACCATCAGGTATGTTAAGAGGTGGTCTGAGGAGGCCACTGAGGCGCTGCAGGACTGTTTTGAGACCACAGACTGGGATGTACTGTGCGGCCCACATGGTGATGACACAGACACCATGACAGATTGTATCACAGACTATATAAACTTCTGTGTTGAGAACACCGTACCCACCAGGAAAGTACGGTGTTTCTCCAACAGCAAACCTTGGGTGACCCCGGAACTTAAAGTCCTCCAGACTCCTGAAGGACTGTGCAGACCAGCTCTGTGAGGTGCTACTGCACATCTTCAGCTTGAGCCTGAGTCTGGAGAGGGTCCCAGCACTGTGGAAGACTTCCTGCGTGATTCCTGTCCCCAAGACAGCACACCCCAGGGAGCCCAACCACTTCAGACCTGTGGCCCTCACTTCTCACCTGATGAACACTCTGGATAGGATCGTGCTGAGGGACCTCCGCCTCCTGGTGAGCTCTCATCTGGATCCTCTGCAGTTTGCGTACCAGCCGAACATCGGAGTGGACAACGCTGTCATCTACCTGCTGCAGAGGTCCATGGCTCACTTGGAGAACACCGGCAGCACTGTGAGGGTCATGTTTTTTGACTTCTCCAGTGCTTTCAACACCATCCGGCCTTCACTGCTCAGGGGGAAGCTCGAGAGGGCGGGAGTGGACTGTCACCTAGCCGCATGGACCGTGGACTACCTCACCAACAGACCACAGTTTGTGAGGCTTCAGAACTGTGTGACGGACATGGTGGTCTGCAGCACGGGGGCTCCACAGGGGACAGTGCTCTCCCCCTTCCTCTTCACCCTGTACACCTCGGACTTCAGCTACAACTCTGGGAGCTGTCACCTCCAGAAATTCTCCGATGACACAGCCATCGTCGGATGTGTATCGTCAGGGGATGAGCGGGAATACAGGACTGTCATCACTGACTTTGTCAACAGGTGTGGCACAAACCACCTCCAGCTAAACATCAGCAAGACAAAGGACATGGTCAAGGATTTCTACAGGAGGAGGACACCTTAGACTGTTCCACTGAACATCCAGGGTCTGGACATCGAGATGGTGGAGTCCTACAGATTCCTGGGTGTCCACCTCAACAATAAAGTGGACTGGTCAACAAACACAGACGTCTTGTACAAGAAGGACTCCCTGGAGGAGGTGAGTGAGAGGAGGATGTTAGCAAAGCTTGTATCCATCATGGATAATCCCTCTAACCCACTGCACCAGACTGTGGGGGCTTCAAGCAGCTCCTTCAGCAGCAGACTCCCACCTTGCAAGATGGAGCGCTACCGCAGATCGAAAAACAAGACTTTACAACGAACCGTAATAAAACTTGACTTTTTTCTGGCATTTAAATTGTGTATATTGTATATAGTTTTATTTTTCTTCTCCCCTTTTCCTTTTCTAATTTTTTTCTTAATTAGAACATTTATTTAAGTTCTTAATATACAATCTTTATTTTTATAACTGCATTTTTGCACTTTGTTATGCTGCTGTGACAAAAAAAAAAAAATCCCCAGGGGGGATCAATAAAGGAATATTCTATTCTAGTCTATTCTATCTGTGTGTCGTCTGCATAGCAGTGAAAGGAGACTTTGTGGCACCGAATTAATTGGCCGAGGGGCAGCATGTTGATAGAAAATAAAATTGGACCTAAAACTGAACCTTGCGGTACACCACAGGCAATAGCAGAGGTAGAGGAGGTGTGATTACCTATGGTGACCGCAAAGGTTCGCTCTAAAGATACGACTGAAACCAGCTAAGTGCAGTGCCCCTGATACCCACCCAGTTTTTAAGACGCTCAATTAAAATAGCATGATTAACTGTATCAAAAGCTGCACTGAGATCTAAAAGAATTAAAATTGAGCCCTCCCCTCTATCTGCTGCTAAAAGAAGGTCATTGGTCACACTGAGGAGGGCAGTCTCAGTGCTGTGACCTGCTCTAAAACCAGACTGAAATTTCTCAAAGAGGTTACATTCAGACATAAAGCCTAAAAGCTGTTTAGAAACCACCTTCTCTAAAAGTTTGGATGAAAATGAAAGTTTTAAGATTGGTCTAAAATTGTTAAAATCAGGGGGTCAAGGTTTGGCTTCTTTAAAGGGGTTGGACCACAGTGTGTTTAAAATCAGAGGGAAATACTCCCTCTGCCAGAGAGCCATTAATAATGGATAAAATCCTAGGCCCAACCATGTTAAAAACCTCTTTGAGAAATCTGGTGGAGATAAATTCAAGACTGCACATAGCTGGTTTTATGTGGGCTAAAATATCAGATAAAAAGGGTAAGGACACTGGTTCAAAGCTGCTAAAATATTGCAGAACTTCCCCACTTAAGAATACAGGGAGACTGGGAGGGGTGATTTGATGCCTGATGTCCATGACCTTGTTAATAAAATGAGTTAAAAACTTCTCGCAGGTGTCTTGGGAAGCATCAGTAAAATAAGAGGGGGAACTGTTGGAAAGTGACTCTAAAACCTTAAATAAAACTCTGGGGTTCAAATAATTAGCTAAAATCAAATTTGAGTAAAATGCTGCCCTTGCATCCTTAACTGCCTTCTGGTAATTTTTCATGGAGTCTCTCCAGATTTCAACCACCAGACCAGTTTTCTTCCATTTACGTTCATTTCTTCGATATGCTCTCTTTAGTTCATGTGTGGACTCTGTAAGCCAGGGCTGGGTTTTTTTGTTTGATTTTTTTCTTTTTCAGAGGAGCTACAGAGTCCAGTATGGTTCCACACATATTGTTAAAAAGAGAGACAAGCTCTTTAGTGTTTAAAACTGGATTAAAATCTGGGTTGAAGGCAGTTAAAGATGCAGAGATAAAGAGCTCCAAAAACTTGCAAGCAGATGTTGCTTTACAAACCCTTCTATAAACAGGAGTATGATCAGTAAAAGAAGGCTGGGATAAACCATGGAGATTAAAACATGTTTGTGATGTGACACAGAGATATCCTTTGTTAAAAACTTCCAAGGACTCAGTCCAGTAAATAAAACCAAATCTTGGCAATGTCTCTTTACATGAGTTGGTTCCTGTATTGCCTGGGTAAGATTGAAGGAGTCCAGAGTTTCAATAAAATCAACAGTCAAGGGTTGTGAGGGACAACAGACATGTACATTAAAATCACCCAAATAAGAATTTTGTCGTATTTACAAATAAAAAAGAAAAGAAACTCTGAAAACTCCTGAATAAAAACAGCATTATGTTCGGTGTGGTCGGTAATTGATTATGATTAAAACAGGATCTTTCAATTTCACAACAAAAGCAAGGTGCGCAAATGAACTAAAAGTGCTGAAGGTGATGGGGGTGCATTTAAAATCCTTCTTGAATATGACAGCCACCCTCCCACCCCGGCCTGACTGCCGGGGCTAGTGGTGTGTTGGTCATGAACGAACGGATCAAAATAACTAGTTCTTTTTGGTGAACGAAATGAACCAGGTCACCCCCCCCCCCCCCCCAAATGACCCGTTCAGTCCGTTCAGTTCTTTTGATTGGCTGAAGAGTCAGTTCACTGGTCCTGAGGGCGGGACTATCTCTGTGCTTGCCTGTCTTATCCTATCGTCGCGCCTCGCTCTGTGGGTGGATGGGGCTTAGAGAAGCAGCAGCAGTCAGCTCAGTCAGTACTGAGCTGACTGAAAGACCGGGACTGATAATGACCGAGCTGAGTCTGACTGAAAGACCGGGGACCGATGACCGAGACCGATGAAAAGACGGAGACCGAGTCGGTCATCGGTCCCGGTCTTTCAGTCAGCTCGGTCTGACCGAGAGATTGACCGACTCTCAGACTGACTGAGTACAAGCGTTCACTCTCTGCAAGGTGCTGTCAGCCTGTCACTAGCCGACCGACTTGTGAACGCAACGGAATGTACTGAATAAAATAAACTATAAGGCAGTCTCTTGCGGGGGGTCTCTGTACTCACGAGTCCAACAAACAGTGCCGCGGCCGCCGCACGAGCCGACAGCCGAGCCCGAGCGAGCAGGACAGTCACAGACACACACAGGCACACAGCTGCTGCTGCAGCCAGAGGCAGAGACTCACTAGCAGAAGGTTTAGCATGCTAAGCTAACAAACAGCGGTTGATAAGAGTACACGGGGTTGCTTGAGGCAGCCGGATGTGTTATCCTGATGCTGTACGGTGTCTGTGTACAGACACATCTGTATTCAGCCACCATTTGAACTAGTACCTGTTAGAATAATGTGCATAAATGTATATAGAAGTTATCATTATTCCTCATATTCTTATGTAAGAGTTGACTACAAGTATAAACTGTTTTGACCTCTTTTATACATCATATGAGAGTATTTTTATCATAAAAGAGTGTTTCCTAACTTCTCTCTCCAATAGATTTACTACACAGTACAACAATGTTTCTTTCAGATTTCTGTGACCGTGTTTTTCCTATCAGCAGGTGTGGGTGTGGGGGTGACGTATCCTCCGCTGATGAATCGTGGGAAGCTTTTGAGAAGGATCCATCCTTATCAGAAGGAGCTCGTTAGATGCCGCCTTGACCTTCACATATTCACAAATTGTTCATTATTATGTTCTATGAAATGCTTACTTTGCAGCACATTTACCCCCACCCTTTTAGAAACATTGTGTAACCAGGGACAACCCTAAATAAAAGAGGCGGACAGAGAAAGTACCCTTAGAGTGGTATTGAGATAGCTAAAAAAAAAGATCTCTGTCCATTCTCCTCGAGTATATTCCATTGTCTTTCTCCTTTTAATATATGTTTTCAGATATTTGGGCAGGTTTTTAGACCTAACAGTACCAATGCGTAATGTGCTAGCCTAGCTATATAGCTTGGTTTAGCTGGGTCAACATGCCGGTGTTTCGGTGTAAAAAGTGACCCTGTTACCAGGAGACTTTAGAAAAAACTCGCATGAGATTGTCCCAAGTCACACAGCTGTTGAATACTTATCCTTAGATCTCTCTTTGTTTTGAATGTCAGCAAAGATGTATCTGTTGGAAATACTCGATGTTATTGTCACAAAGGGAGCTAAGAGGCTCTTGTTCTTTCAGAGTCTGAACAGATCTCCCCCTGCATAAACCCGGTCAGCCGTGTCGAGTCAGTCCGTTCACTCACGTTCGGTCTGAACGAACGTGAACATGAGCGAACAGACTGACTAACAACCAATTGACTGAAATGAACGAATCTTTTTACTGAACGAACCGGAATGATCCGGTTCACTGAAATGAACGGTTTTGCCCACCACTAGCTGGGGCTGATGGAGGTGAGTAAAATTAGGGGGGGCAGCTTCAATGAGAGCAATATAATTGTCTGGAGTCAGCCAAGTTTCAGTGAAAACAAAAAAGTCCAGGTCATTTTGTGAAATAAAATTGTGGCATAAACATGTTTTGTTGTTGAGTGACCTTATGTTCAAAAGTCCAAAGTTTGCAGGTTTGCTGTTAAAAGCAGGGCGGGGTAGCTGAGGAAGCAGAGGAATGTATATGAGATTGGAGGGGGTACAATTTCTGGCAGGAGAGCGGGAAGGGTGTAAGGATGTGGTGTGTTCTGGGATTAAAGATTCACTGATGGTACTGAAGTGAGGGGGCAGAGCAAGGTGTGGGTTGGCAGGTGAGTGGGCGGGACTTATGAGAGTGCTTTGAGATGACCAGAGGTTATTGTGTGGAGGTAGGGGAATGACCTGTGTGAGAGAAAGTGGGCTGCTGAATGCAGACTGTCAGACAGGTGAGGAGTGGATAAGGTACTGGATGTTGTAAGAGAGCATTCGGCTACCCCGCCTGTTGGGGTGGATTCCATCATGTGTAAAAAGTGATGCTCGGTCCCAAAACAGATTACACTTGTCAATAAAACAGAAGTTGTGGGCGGGGCATTTGGACTGGAGCCAGGTATGGAGGCTGAGAATTCTGCTAGACTGAGAGTGGGGATCGGGCCAGAGAAAAAAAACTGTCTTTCCAGTGTCCTTTAAAACGTTAAAAAGCAAGTTAAAATCACTCTTTATGACTGACTATGGGAAGTGTCATTTGAGCCGACATGGAGCACAATCTTAGAGATGGAGAAGGGGAGAGAGGGGAGTAAATGGAGAAGTTTGTCCAGGATGACAGGAACGGTGGCACCAGGAAAACAGTGAGTCATGGAATTGAAAAATCTGATGTACCTGGTTATGGAATCTCCGATGATGAGTGTGGTCGGGGGGAAGAGAGGAGGAGGAGATGTGCGAGCGCTGGAGCCTGCAGATGTTGAGCGCTCCACCTGCGCTGAGGACGGCAGTTGTTGATGGCGGTGGGCGGGCGCAGATGGAGCAGGTGGAGTGAGGGTGTCGGAGGCCCAGGGACGCCCTTCCGAGCACCTGGAGACGGCCTCGCTGAGCAGCCTGCTGCGCAGCATCCCAGTTGAGGCGGGCCATGCAGCCTGGTCTGTGCTGGTCACCCATTGAGCCACCACAGCGAAGGAGGGAGCCCCCTTTGCTGGGTCTGGGTCCAGTAGAGATGGAGCCGGAGCAGCGACAGGATCCGTGGCAGCTACATCCCTCAGGGCCGAGAAGTGGTTAGAGTGAGAGAGCCGTGGTGGTGAAGGAGCTCTCCGGCTGCGATGCACCACTTCAGACCAGGTAGGCTGCATCTGCCACTTTGGGGAAGAGCTGTGGGCAGGGTGCGCTGGGAGCCTCACTTCCAAGCCAGCGTCAGAAACACCAGACGGCCTCAGGCCTTGACTGTCGTGATCTGCGGAAGGAGGAATGGAATGACAGCCTGCCGGCATTGCGCTGTGCCGCGGCGCAGGCGAACAGACCGAACCCCCGGCCGCAGGGTCCTCAGCCAGTCCATTGGGAGATTATAAGGAGGCCATCCAGGGCAGAGTAGCAGTGGAGGCAGAACCCAGCTGTGGTGCCAAAGCCGAAGGTGAAAGGCCAGTAATCCTGGAAGCCTGCATCAGGGAAATGTGTTTTGCTTGTGCTGATGCTGTGGATATGAAGCTCTCCAGTTGCCTAACCTTTTTACGGAGGTCGTTCTGTAGACGGCAACGTTTTTCTTCCAGCCATGAGTTTTTATCTTTGCAGTTAACACACACAGCCATTTCAAATACCAACTCTTCCGGGTTTTGTTAAGAGTTGGCACCTAAATGAGGGGCCTCAGTATGATCTGTGCTTTTGCTTGGTCTGAGTTTCTTCGTCTGGTGATTAAAATCTCAGTCAGTTAAAAAAGCATCTAAAACAGCATAAAGGTAAGAGCAAGGGTATAAAAATGGCGTAAAAACGATTTTTTGGGAGAGCTTCTCGCGATCAGAGCGTAGCGCTTCCACCATGGCACATGCATGGATGCGTAGATGTGATCAATCTGGTTTCTGGGCCCAGACGCTATTTGGGGGGATGAAAACAATTTTTTATCAAACATCGACTTTGACTGTATTAAATTTGGTCTCTGATTATTTACTTAAAAAAAGGTTGAATATCTCTCTAAATATGTGTGGCTGTAACAGATTAAGCACCAAACACCATTTGGGAATCACTGCTCTGGACTCTTGAGATCAGGGCTCATTACTCATGTCTGTGCTGTTGCTTTGGGAACCAGTTAACAGTGTCACGTTATCCTCTGTCCGCCCTCTGTGTTTTATTGACTATTACTCATAACAACATGATTTAAGCCCCACATTACAGCTAAAAGCAGGACCATAATATACAAGTGTTACTCCAAGTTATGTAGGAAGCAGGCATTCCTTGCTGAAACGTAATTGATAAGTGGCTTATCTGATCTGTATCAGAAATTTCTGAGGAAGAGAGTGGGCAAATATTGCCAAATCAAGATGTGCCACGCTGATAAACTCCTAACCAAAAACACTGAGTGCTGTCATATAAGCCAAATATGCTGCAACAAAGTATTCGTTTAAGGGTGTGCGTATTTATGCAAATGAGTTATTTTAATTTTTCTATTTTTCCCGTTAAAGGTTTCAGTTTGTTTTTCAATTGCATTGTACAGATAATAGGTCACATTAAAGGTGGAAAAAGTTGGGTAACGCTTCCTTTTACGGTACTGTAATTACCATATATTTACATGGTCATTACCAGGTAAGTGCCATGTAATAAGGAGTAGTTACTGTGAAATTACCATGTAATTACAAGGTAACTATATTGGTAATTACCTAGTACTTTTACTTTTAGTAATTCCAGGCAAATACCAAGTAACTCTCTGGTAATAAGTATTAACTACTGGGTAATTATAGATTAAATATATAAAATATAAATAATTATAAATTTAATTTCTTAAAAAGTACCTGGTAACAGCCAGGTAATAAGAAGTAATTACTGAGTAATTATAAAGTATTTATATGGTAACTATGTAATTAATTGCTAATTACTTACTCAGTAATTGCCAAGTATTTTCCTAATAACTACATGGAAACTACTATGTATTTTAGAGTACTTATCAGCCACTTACCAAATAGGTACCTGGTAACTACCAGATAACATACCCAGCAATAACTGCAAAATTACCATGTGAACTACCATGTAATTAATAGGTTACTAACTGTATTTATTTCATAACTACACAGTAACTACCCTTTAATTGTACCTGATAACTACCAAGGAAGGCTATGTATTGTATTGGTAAATACACAGTAAGTACTGTTAAATTTACACCGAAACTATTATGACACTACCAATTACTTTCCTATTGGCTACCAGGTGTAATTACCAAGACATTTTAAGTTTCTATTAGATAATTGCCATGTAATTACTAGGAAATGAAGAGTATTTACTAGATATTACTTGGTATTTTTGCCATGTATTTCCCTGGTAGTCAACTGGTTTTTACGACTTACCTGGTAACTTCTTAGTATTTGCCCAGTAACTACAACATTTACCTGGTAATTATGGTTGAACTGTACTGCAAAAGGAAGTGAGGTCTGTTTCCATGCTATTACCTGGTAATTACTCATTCGTTACCCAGGAACTAGAAAAATACCTACCTGGAAATTACATAGTTATTAAAGTGGATTTGTACTGTAAAGGGAAGTGAGGTCTGTTTTCATGTTATTACCTGGTAAGTACCCATTTGTTACCCAGTAAATAGAAAAATATCTACCTGGAAATTACATAGTTATTAAAGTGGATTTGTACTGTAAAAGGAAGTGAGGTCTGTTTCCATGTTATTACCTGGTAATTACTCAGTATTTAGCACGTAACTAGGAAACTATCACATTACCCAAGACACTTGGACCAAAAATGCCCCCAAACCGACCAGTGTCTATGATACAGTGTCTGTGAGTCTGATTCTCCCCCTGAACAGCACACTGTATCTGTCAGGAGATAAGAGTTCCCATCAAAAACCACCATCACCAGCCATCAAATTACATTAAGATGAATGCATTATTATTACACTTCCTCACTCAAAACACCCCGCTGTGACAGATATGCAAAAACAAGTGAGCTGCCAAAGATAAACGGTTTAATACAATGGATTTTAAATTCTTATAAAACAATTTCAAAAACAGTGCAAATTCTGAACAGTCAGGCACTTTTTTTTTATCAGAATAGACTTTTAAAAAAATAAAAAATAAAAATAACAGTGATAAATAATAATTACAAAGTAAACAGTCGCAGTCTTGAGAATTCACATCATCATATGTTTTCTGTAGACTGGTCTGGCCCCAAGCAATGGTAGCCTGGCTGGGCCATTCAGTTGCGTGAATCACTTGCCGTTCCTTCCCACAACAGTCTGGACTTCGGCCAATTGGGAGCGTGTATTAGAAATCAGAAAATAACAGGGCCAATCAGTGACTGTGTTTCCACCGTTCCCCGGACAACAGGGAAAGGCAGCCCCTGATTGGTCCATATGTAGATGGAGACGTCTAACACATGCTGCGGGACTTTTTAAAGCGCTGTTAATTCAGAACGCCGTTAATTCTGCAGTTGACTTTGCAAAGTTGGCAGAAATCGTTTATACCCGCAGAAGACATCGGATATAAACAATTTCTGCCGACTTTGCAGAATTTGTTGTTGGAAGGAACGGCAAGTGATTCACGCAACTGGATGGCCCAGTCAGGCTAAAGTACTGGGTGGGCATTCCACTTTTTGGTCTCTGAAAAATGAAAACACCCACCTAGTGTAAGCACCCACATGGGCCAGACTGGTCTGCAGTAGGCACATGATAATGAGAAAAATAGTGCAAAAAATCCCTGCCCGGGACACAAAACTAGTAAAAACAAAAACTTATTAACAACGTATTAACTTCAATTGCGCTTGTGTGTGTGTGTGTGTGTGTGTGTGTGTGTGTGTGTGTGTGTGTGTGTGTGAATTCACATCGTCATGTGTTTCCTGCAGACTGGTCTGGCCCCAAGCACTGGGTGGGCATTATTCAGAAACCAAAATAGTGATGTGTCTGTCAGGAGTTTAAGACAGTGCAGACACTGGTTGATTCTTCACTTTTCGGTTTCTGAAAACACCCACCTAGCACAAGCACCCACATGGGCCAGGCTGGTCTGCAGAAGACACATGATAATGTGATATCACATGGCTGGTGCTTCACCAGGCCCCCTCATTTATGTAATTTGTATGCGATGGTGAGCAGCTCATTGGCCTTCCTCATCTTATCCACTTTCTCTTTTAGGGTGGGGTTTGCATCCAAAAATGCCTTGCAAACTTTGGCAAAGCTAGCCAAACTCTGCTTTTCTGCAATTATGAGCAGCTCTCTAAAATCCCCACCCTCTCCGGCAATGAGGACATCTGCGATGACCGCAGTCCCCGCAATGGTGTTGTGGTCCAAGTCAAAGGCCCTACAGATTTCTGGGATGCTCCTGGTCCTCCTGTACATCCTCACCAACTTCTTATAACGGTGGACCACATCCTCTGGGCTACTGACTACAAGACAGATCAAAGAAAAAAAAAAAAAAGAAAGGGGAAAAAAACACTCATAATTACAAATATATTGCACAATCCGAGTATACATGATGATCAGTACTCAAACTATTCTTTTTCACTTCAGGGTTTCATTGATAGTCTTTACATATCAGTTTCATAATAGGGCCAGTCTGACTATGCTAAATGTTGCCGTTAAGAGATTGTGTGTGGGTGGAAGGGAGAGTACTCTTAGCAAGGCCTATGGAAGATATTTGTCTTAGTAGGAGCATCTCTGCTAAGGTGAACGGAGTCTGAAAGCTCCCCAATGTAGTCTATAAAAAAGGGGTGCATTTACCAAATTTTAAGGTCACTTAATAAACCAGTGCATTTTCATGCTGCAGTGTGATGTAAAATGTAAAAATTCAAGGTCCCCCCCTTAACTCTGACAATGCACAAATGGACTGGTTAAAGTTCATTTGGTTCCATCTGTACATCAGAGTTTTGTGTCAAGAGTTACATACTCTTAGGGGTCGATTTAGAACGCTTAAGGTAAACCCAGAGTCCCTGAAATCCACTTTGATAACCACTGATGTAAGCAAAAGCACTGTTTGTGTGTGCATTGTTACAGAAGCAATATGAAAATCTATTTTCCCAGATACCTCGCTTTCCAAATGAAGCCCTCTTTGGCTTTTTCTTTGGGGAGTCCTCATCTGATGATGATGACGATGCTGGCTTCCTTCTTCTCTTCTTGGCAGCCTTCTTTGTTTTAAAGGAGGACTCAGGCTCAGAGGAGTCAGAGGACTCACCAAGGTCATAGCTCCTTTTCTGTGAACCTTAAAGTCAGCAAATCTATAAAGAGAGAACCAAAGATCAAAAAAAAATCAAAATAAGAATGCAGTGATTGCAATTCTGTTTCATGGATAAATATGAGAAAATCTAAGAAATACCATAAAGAAAGTAAAAGGCCTATATACAAGCCCACAACACGGCGTGAAGCGACACATGAGTTTGTAGGTCTGCTGTTTTCACTATTTTTGTGTCCCAGGCAAACATAAAATACTTCTTTTTTTTGTCACAGGCTTAACAGTTTGTGAACCATTGCTTTAGATCATGGGTTTTCAACTGGTGGTCCGTGGACCACTGGTGGTCCGCAGAGGCATTGCAGGTGGTCCCTGGCCATGCATTCATTGAAAAGAAAAGTTGCTTTTCCTTTTTAAATTTTCCTTTTAGTTCAATTTGCTACTCTTTTTTCTTGTTCGCATGTGAATACAAATATTTTGAGGGGAAAAAATACTTGATAGAATGATAGACCTGCTCTTTTCTGGTAATAAGATGCTTTGAGAACGGACAATATATTGTTGGATGGGTCTATGATGGACCCACCTGACAATAGTGGTGGTCCCCAGGTTGCTCCTAGTCAGAATGGTGGTCCCTGGGTCAAAATCAGTTGAAAACCCCTGCTTTAGATGGTAGTTTGAGCCTGACATGTAGGTTTTGGGAGGGACAGTCTAGTTACCTTTTGAACCGGCCTCAGAGGAACGAGACTTCTCCTTTAAGAGATCCCGCTCCTGTTTTAGTAGTCTGTTCTCTTCCTTAAGAAGAAGGATCTCCTCTTTGAGGAGCCGGTTCTCTCCCTTTAGCTGGTTCAAGTCCAACTTGAATTTTTCCATGGTTCCACAAGAACCGCCTCGAACCTCTCCAACTGAAAAAGATAGGCAAAGATGTATTAAATACTTAGGATTGTATTTGTTTCAACGTGTTCACAGTCATAGGCTGTTCTATTTCAATTAGACAAAGCTTTGTAACTAAGCCTTGCCGAGCCACGAGGCCCATAGGGCAGGAGCCTATTTCCTGTTTCTTTAGCATGAGGCAGCTTTGTGTACATTACAAGTCCACCCCCTGGACATGATGCTAGTATGTCGCAGGGACTCAGACAACCTTGTGCTATACGAGACCACTCTATGTATAACCATGATTTAATAAAATTCTTACCTTCAATATTTGACTCCATCTCCTCCAAGTTGTTTTGGACTGGCAAAGTCTTCTTCTTGAGACATGACTTTGTGGGGTAAAATAAACAAATTAAAATAATTTAACAAAGCTGTATCTGTTATACAGTATGATATATAAATCAACTTTGAGCTGATTTATGGCTAATAAAGTGGTCTGAGACCCCTAGGGGGTCGTCACAGTTACTACAGGGGGGCCACCAAATATTTGTCATTTTTGTTTGATCTACATTAACCACATGAATATTTTCAGTCACTCAAATGCATATACTGTCGACGCATTTTAAGCTTGTAGATCAGCTATTTCTTTTGACATTTTTTAATTAGAATCCTGAATTATTTTCTTTTTACTATTTTTGAATTGGAATCAGGAAAATTTACATTTATTCATTTTTAAATTTAACTTAGTTCTTATGCTGACATCATGAACAATAAATAAATATATATCAATACAATAAACAAAAATATATAATAGGCGTTAATATAGACTAAGGTAATAAAAGAGTCATGTTTCCATGTTTTGAATTGTAACTGCAGAAATAAAAAAATCGGGTGAAATAATGTTTAACATTTCACTTAAATCTCCCAAGCTCTTTTGAGAACCCCCTGGGGGTCTGATTCACAGGTTTAGAACCACTTGATTGATTGATTGATTGATTCATTGATTGAAAAGTTTATTGAGAAAAAGGTACAGTTTCATTACAGTACAGACTCACTGGTACAAAGTCAACTAAAAGGAGATTACACATGAAAGCCTGAGCTTGTTTCAATTTACATTTTTTTAAACTCATAACATTGAGAAACATACAGAAAGAACGCAGTACTGTGCAGAAAGTAGCATTCAAATGACACAAATACTGATCTAAATGTTGAGGATTTAAGTGGCTAACACGTTTAAAGCTAAACAAAGTAAAGCTCGGTAGTGCTTAACCTCGCATTAACAGGCGATCCCTTGGTGACAGAGCCTTCAGTGTGGCCGCCCCTCCTCTCTGGAACTCTCTCCCCTCTGAGATTCGCCAAGCACAGACTCTTGACTCTTTCAAGTCTGCTCTGAAGCGACACTTGTTTATTCAGGCTTTTGGTATCTAGTTAGGTTTTTTTGTAGTGTGTTGTTAAGCGCTTTGGGTATCTTGAAAGGCGCTATACAAATGTAAGATATTATTTATTATTATTAACAGGCGTTCAGCAATCTAGAACAGTCAGCTCAATGCTCAGATGTAGCCTAGCCTACCAACGTCCCCCAATGTTGCTAGCGTTAGCCATTTTCACGTTAGCAACCATGGCATGCAAACCACAGTCAGCTTATATTAAGTGTTAATGTTACAGTTATTTCTTAGGTACAATGTGTCACTTACCAATGTGTTTTTCTTGCGTGGTTGGGAAAGCGGAGCTCACACTGGGTGTACCGATGTGCCCTTCAGTGCCGTGGCTTCGGAGCGTGTGTCGAGCAATGGAGGGGGTGTTTCCGCGAAGTGCGTATCGAGGCTTGCCTCATGTAGGGGAGGAACCAAAAATGATGACATCTGAAGCCTCGCTACCTGGCTGTACCACGTGACTGATTCAAGAAACGGTTCGTGGGTTTGGCGGATGATTTAACAGGCAGCAAAACGCAATGGAGTCCTCCCCCACTCACAAGTCATAGACTCGAGACTTGTTGAAAAGTTGTTTTTTAAATAAAAATAAATGAAATGTTTATGTTTTAGTATGTTTACCCCATTAAAAAAGTACGAACAACAAACTAAGTAACACAAGCACATTCACATCACAACCCTCTCCATTATTTATGTCCTCTTCCCCTTTTTGACTCTGCAACTGTGTCTTAAAGACAGACACCATGTTAATAACTTCATTATTTCTGTATTGTATCACAAACACACGGCATCACATCCATTCATTTATTCAGTTCAAAGCTTCACGCACCAAAGCCTCGGGGTGTCTTTAATCACTCTGCCTGTTTTACATTTATTGTCCACTTGATGGCACAGTAGAGCAAATGAAGCACAATAATGAAGCTTCAACCCAGGAATCGAGTAATTGGATGGAAAGTTTTAATGATTCAAGAAGCTTCATCTCACCATCACTAACCGGGAGAATGTGGGTTTCTGTTACGACTCGAGTAGCACGGTTGAAAGGAGTGGAGGAGAAATAAACAGTCGCACACAGTTTATTTCACCGACTGTTTGATTACTCCTGGTTCCGTGTTTCCCCTTCACGTTGGTGACATTGCATACGCACGTGCATACGTCATTACGCTCTGGAGACGTTCAATAGCCCAAATCGCCCGCGAAGATAGGAGCGCCGGAAAAAAGCGCCACTAGCTGTTCAAGCTTTTTACTGTGCAGGTATGGTGAAGGCAGACTAGGCACTGATTGATTGATTGATTGATTGAAAGGTTTATTATAAGTTTGCGTAAGGAAAAGGTCAACTAAGAAGGAGATTACACTATTAAGCCTGAGCTCATTTGTTTCGATTCAGATCCTTTTTTTTTTAACCCAGAAGAAGACAATTTCTTAAAAAAAAAAAACTCAACCATGACTTTAATAAGATAACTCCTGCAAAATACAGCACTAGGAGGAAAACCTCTGATACAGTGGCTTCAGAGGGAGAGGCTGTTGGCCAGTAAAAAAAGATGCCCAGTTTGCCACAGGCAAATGAAGTTCAAAAAAACAAACACAACCAAAGATGGATATCGGTGGTAAGTGATGAAGCATTATCATTGCATTATCATTATCTTCTTTATATATATGTATATACATATATATATATATATATATATATATATATATATACATATACACACTCACCGGCCACTTTATTAGGTACACAATGCTAGTAACGGGTTGGACCCCCTTTTGCCTTCAGACTGCCTCAATTCTTCGTGGCATAGATTCAACAAGGTGCTGGAAGCATTCCTCAGAAAGCTTGGTCCATATTGACATGATGGCATCACACAGTTGCCGCAGATTTGTCGGCTGCACATCCATGATGCGAATCTCCCGTTCCACCACATCCCAAAGATGCTCTATTGGATTGAGATCTGGTGACTGTGGAGGCCATTTGAGTACAGTGAACTCATTGTCATGTTCAAGAAACCAGTCTGAGATGATTCAAGCTTTATGACATGGCGCATTAAACTGCTGAAAGTAGCCATCAGAAGTTGGGTACATTGTGGTCATAAAGGGATGGACATGGTCAGCAACAATACTCAGGTAGGCTGTGGCGTGTGCAACGATGCTCAATTGGTACCAAGGGGCCCAAAGAGTGCCAAGAAAATATTCCCCACACCATGACACCACCACCACCAGCCTGAACCGTTGATACAAGGCAGGATGGATCCATGCTTTCATGTTGTTGACGCCAAATTCTGACCCTACCATCCGAATGTCGCAGCAGAAATCGAGACTCATCAGACCAGGCAACGTTTTTCCAATCTTCTATTGTCCAATTTCGATGAGCTTGTGCAAATTGTAGCCTCAGTTTCCTGTCCTTAGCTGAAAGGAGTGGCACCCGGTGTGGTCTTCTGCTGCTGTAGCCCATCTGCCTCAAAGTTCGACGTACTGTGCGTTCAGAGATGCTCTTCTGCCTACCTTGGTTGTAACGGGTGGTTATTTGAGTCACTGTTGCCTTTCTATCAGCTCGAACCAGTCTGGCCATTCTCCTCTGACCTCTGGCATCAACAAGGCATTTCCGCCCACAGAACTGCCGCTCACTGGATATTTTTTCTTTTTCGGACCATTCTCTGTAAACCCTAGAGATGGTTGTGCGTGAAAATCCCAGTAGATCAGCAGTTTCTGAAATACTCAGACCAGCCCTTCTGGCACCAACAACCATGCCACGTTCAAAGTCACTCAAATCACCTTTCTTCCCCATACTGATGCTCGGTTTGAACTGCAGGAGATTGTCTTGACCATGTCTACATGCCTAAATGCACTAAGTTGCCGCCATGTGATTGGCTGATTAGAAATTAAGTGTTAACGAGCAGTTGGACAGGTGTACCTAATAAAGTGGCCGGTGAGTGTATATATACACACACACACACACACACACACACATATATAAATATATATATATATATATGTGTGTGTGTGTGTACATATATATATATATATGTGTGTGTGTGTGTGTGTGCACACGTGTGTTATACATTTATTTAAAAATGATAACACATTTTAAATAATCCTGTCTGTGACCAAACTGGCCATTTTCTAAAAAAGCTAAAATGTTTCCGTGTGCAATACACCTCTCAATATATAGTCTCATTGTTGAAAGCAAATGGAGAGCAGAAAATGGTCATCCATCAGATTAAATTGCTTTTTATTGAACTATACTTTAGATAAGTGTAGTCCTGTGGGAGCGTACAATATTATAACATTTCGTGGCTGGGGGTTAAGTCCTCTATATTTCAATATGAACGTTTTTGTAGATGTAAGGGGCAAATGTAGAAAGGGGTAAATGTTTTCCTCCTAACAAGGGACATGACCATGTTTACAATCTCATATAGGTTTACTCTTGAGAATCTATGTTACCACTAAAAATTATATTTACAGGTGTGGTATGTTATGTTACAGGAGCTGCAGACGGTCATCACACAGGGGCAGGGCAATAACAAGGTCCATCAGAGATGGATCCATTTTCTCTGGATCACACATCCCATTACAATCATGGATGCAGATTATGCACAGGTTAGATGTTTCTCTCCCTCACTTCAATTCAAATGTTCTCTCATTCTCTCATGAGCTGTGTAATTGTATTTTGTTACACAATAATTAATTATTTTGTGCATTTCATTTTAGCTTTGACCATTCCAATCAGGTAGACCTAATACAGTACATGCAAATACCACATGTAAACAGTGTCTCTTAACATGAATAGCCAAATGCATACTGAGATATTACATAGAGCAGTGGTCCCCAAACCTTGTATCTCAAAATCCAATAGCCAAATTATATGTTTGCCCTGATCGCAAACTTGTGAACATAGCAGATTTACAAGCTCTGAATGT